AGTATCCTTCCTCCAACATCATCACTTGTCTTTTTCAAATACAAACAACCAATGGTACTCATATAGATCTATCAATGGATCGGATTCTAATCCAAATTTGATCCGATTAATCCGATATGAATTGAACAAAAAATTTAATAATTTAAGTACGATATGAATTTGTTAACTCATTAGCTTAACAAATCGATCGGATATGAATTATGCTGATTCGATTTGAATAAAATTATATATATATATAATAATAATAATATTTTATATTATATATATATATATATATATATATATATACCCCTTTCAAATTTGTATTAGAGCTAATTAAAAAAAAAAATTCATAATGTTATATGGACATAGTGTAATGTTCTTACCCTTATAGGCACATACTAACAAATCCCCTGATATTCATATTAATAATATTATAATTTTTATTCATTAACAAAGAGTAAATGATCTATTTTTCTTTTCTTTACTTTTCATATTTTATTTATCTTTTGTTTTCTATCATTTTTTTTCTTCTAATTATTGTTGTTTATTCTCTTTTGACATTATTATTTTTTAATATTAAAAAACTATACCTTTATCGGATCGAATATCCGTTTATTAACAAACTGGATATTGATTCACCCGCAAAAAATTCGTCGAATTATCAGATCGGATCATACTGAGTAAAATGCTTATTGAATTCGGATTGAATCATGCCCGATCTGGTCCAAATCCGATCTGTTGACAACTCACAACTCTCTTTTTCATTTTTTCTCATAAATAAACGACATAATTTTTCTTTAAAACATTCAAATGCGCTACACAGCTAAATTTAAAAAGTACTTAACACTTTACATTTGATTAGTAATTATATTATTTTCTATTAGTGAAATAAGTGGTGTATAAAAGTATAAAGACAGTTCTAATGTTTATCCATTTTTTATTTTATATGTTGTTAGTTTTATTAAAAATACATTTACAACTAATATTTTTATGTGCTGATGAGATATTATTTACATAAAAAAAAAATACGAAAATATAAAGATTATTTTTATATGGGACATTTATTATCTCACAAGATTTTTAATCTATAGATCTGTCTAGGTATATATGAATATATAGCAGATGACTTCTTTGAACAATCATGGCTATTATGCCAATCTTATACTGTAGTAAAATTAGTTAATGAGATTGAAATTTTTTTTACACTCAATTTAATGTATCTAAAGAAAAGTTATAATTTAAATTAACGATTGTATTATTTTTAATCTTTATAATGAGATGACTATGGAGAAAATGAGAAGGAGCAATTGTTTTTTATTTTATTGTTTCCGGCAAAGTGCCGTTTGATAATTTAATCGAGCCTTCATTTTAAATGAATTAAGCATTTTTTCAATAAAGTGTGTTTGGTAACGTAATTTGAATATTTTGTAAGTTTCACTTAATATGAAGTAAATTTGTAAATGATGGAAATTTCACTTATCACGGCTGAACTTTGAAAATTCAAAAGAATATTTATTTTTTAATTTTCATTTAAAAATTTCCGTACATAATTTTTAATTTTATCAAACAACAATTGACTCCCACATTATCAATTGATTTGTGGGAGAAATGAATTGATTCTGTAAATTTGTATTGTGTTACTAAATGAAAAATTGAAGGCCCAAAGGCCAAACTTAAAGGGCCATCATAGCCCGGAAAGGCCTATAGCCATACAAAAGAAGTCCAATAGCTTTACAGAAAAGAGGCCCACAAATTTGCAACCTAAGAAGTCAATATTTAAAGTCTACTAAAACAATTAATCAAGAGCTTGTCTTTGTTATGTCTCGAAGAAAATTAATTATAAGAAAATTTATCCTTGTATGGGATTACATGTTACGGATTATAAGCTTTTATTTGACAATATACGTTTTTCTTCATATTTAATTGATTTAAAGATGATAAAAATAAAAAAACCAACCATTCACTTTAGGTAAACATTTTACTCTTATAGAGACCTGAACTGAGAACCATTCACTTTGAGAGGTAGATGGGGTAACACTAAATTATTGAGTAAAACATTTAGTGATATATTTAACAATGTTGCAATATTTTTAAAACATGAAACTAGTTGAGAATAATTGTGTTTGTGGGGAGCTGTTACTGGCGCTCTCAAATTTTTTCGAAAAATGATTCTTACACCGAATAATTGTAGTAAATTGCTAGACTTACTCTTTTAATTAGTCAATTATGCAACAAATAAGAAAATGCAACCTTCCATTTAATTATATTTAATATAAATAGTCAATTAAATATTATTCGGTTAGGCAATACAATTGTTCGGTGTGGCTCATTTTCTCTTCTTGGACTCCATCTATTTATTTTATAAATTAAACTGACAACTTTACCCTCTCACCTTATCTTTTCTATCTAAAAACTGAACTCTCTCTCTCTCTCTCTCTATATATATATATATATATATTTATATTTATATATCTAAAATGCTTGACATAGACCCACAGATTGAGATTTAATTTGTAGTAATCATAAACAAAATAGATAGGGAGAACACAATGGAGACGAAGGTCAGTCTCAGTTTTGCCCTAACCATTTTTTCCCTTCTTTATAAAAGTATTGAAGTTTAAAAAGATAAATAAAAAGTAAGGATGGTGATTGCTGCAACTTCTGGATATTTTCCTATGATGAGGATGGGTTAGAAATTTTCTTTTACTTCCTAATTATGCAAAATTGAATGTTTTTCATAAATTTCCAATGGGAATGTAAAATTTTCTAAAGTTCTTTTGTGTTGGACTTTGAAAACACCATTTGTCCTAGGGCATTCCCTTCGAAGTTTCCGACTTAGTCCTCATCATAAGGAAAATATCCAGAAGTTACTCCGACGAGTCCTCATGCATTCCCTTCAAAGTTTTCCGACTTAGTCACCACCTAACACCGCCAACCCTATTAGAGAATATTATATATTAGGGTTAGGGTAACATAACAATAAATATAGATTCTTCAAATCAAGAGACAAAAGAAGAAAAATTACTTAAAATAATATGTCAATCATTGAGTCATTTAATAAAGATAAATAGTTAACAAAAATTTTAAAAAGGAAAGAAAAATGAGAAAATTTGAAAGAAAAAAATTTGAACTTTGATTCAAAAAGATTTTTTTTTTTTTTTTTTTTAACGAAATTAAACGAATTTAAAGAGTAACAAAGAGAAGAAATACAAAATTTAAGAGATAATTTTAAAAAATAAAAATTTTAAGGGAGGCATTATATGAATTTTTTACATACATATATATATATATATATATATATATATAAATACATAAATTTAATATATGTATTATAGTAAGAGGGCCATGTGCGCTCTGGGCATTCACTAGCTCTGCCCATGGGGTTAACCGTTTTCGCTTACCCTTGTTATCATGCATGGCATTACATATAGGCTATATATATATATATATATATAAATACATAAATTTAATATATGTATTATAGTAAGAGGGCCATGTGCCCTCTGGGCATTCACTAGCTCTGCCCATGGGGTTAACCGTTTTCGCTTACCCTTGTTATCATGCATGGCATTACATATAGGCTATATAGCGGTTTACTTGTTCTCCACACATAACCTTATATAAACCTCATAATACTCTTATATTCACATATTATCTTAATACAATACAGAGTTCTACTAAATAAAAATGCCACTGTCCAACAATGCTTACTGAATAACAAGGACATGAAATGGTCCATTGTATATAGTTACAAATTATCAAAATTAATAAATATGAAGAAGTTTGCTTTGAACTTCACAGTTCATAAAATATAAAAATAATACTTACTCTATCCCAAAAAGGATGTCACTTTTTGGGAACCGTAACTCCTTTTTGGGATGGAAGTAATTGTGTTTTTCTTTTGGCACGAGGGAAAAGAAATAGCATTACAATCAATATTATTAATTTCCCAAATCCTCTGCATAAAAGCAGTAATATCATCAAATAATTACAGCTAAACCATCAGATGGCACCGGACAGTCCCCTTTCACTACCACTTTGGAATATTCCATTGATTCAAGAATTTCAATTCTAGTTATGATACAGCTATCGAATTTCGAGGACGGAGTGCAGATATGAATTCTACTACATGACAATACCCTACCATCATGTGGTAAGACTCACATCCCATTCACACAAACTCTATTTGACATCCTCCGAATTTCGAGGATGTATATTCTCTCAATCCTTCCCTTAGCATCAAAGCATCCCGAATAACAACACTATTATCAAGATGGAAGAAAAAAGTGGCTACTCTCAAAAGCCCTACACAGACTCCCATGTTCCATATAGCATTGTAAGAGGCATCAAAATTAAGCTTGTAGCAACCCACTTCTGGAACGAACCACTGAGTAGGATAGGCACAGAAGGCTGAACTCAGGCATTTTGAATCTTTGGTCTTTTACCATTTGAGTCCCAGAATTCATTATAACCCAAGAGCACCTTGTCCAAAACAGCCATAGGATTTACACTTTCTACCGTTAAATTGGCACGCTGAAAAGATGTTCTGAATTCATCCTCACTCCATATATTAAACAAATGAGACCATACCAGTTGCCGAGAGACGAACATTCCAGCCCCGAAATCAAGTCTCGAGAGCAACACAACTGTAGCACGACAACTGACCAGTGGACGACTCCTTTTCACCAGACTATACAAAAAAGAACAATCCACAATACCCCGCTTTGAATTAACCAGAACCGGAGTTCTTTCATGGCAACATTGCCCAATTAAGAAGAGACAACTTTCCAGCAGGCTTTAATTCTCCGAATATGACCACATCAGGAACTAAATTTCTGGCTATGGCTGCAGCTGCACTCTTCTCTAATCTGTTTGTCTGCCCTTAACAAGTTGACAACAACTTTATATGCGGTCTTAACAGAAAATCAACATCTCTCTTGTTAAAAGAGCATTTAACCAGATCATAGCCAAAAAGGAATTAAGAGAAAAAGATTACCAACATAGCATTTTCCAATGAGTTACCCACCAACATCACTATTGAAGGATTCCCTTTACTCAAATCTCTTGCAAATGTTGTCCAATGATCTGTCAACCATCCCATCTGCCACTAATATAAAACATTCAAGATCATACAAATGCTAACTTAAAACACACAACTTGTGCCTTAAAAGGCTTCACATAATTATGCGCAATACATGCTTTTTCCTTCATCGATTCAAAACGGCCTCCAAAGCCAACTTTATTGCTGTCTTCTTGTCTGTGTACTGGAAGGATGTGTATGGTATTTATGTGCCAGACATGCTTTCCTTCAATGACTTCAAAACCGCTTTGGAAGCCAGTTTTTTTGCCATCTTCTTGTTCGCTGCGGTGCTTGAATGGTTGTGTGTGATTCCATTTGCTTCAACCTCAATTGTGACACAAGTTGTACCATTTTCCCTAGAGAGAAAAGTCATTTTCTTATTTAAACAAAGATCATTTAGTTCCTTCACAGGATTGAGCGGCACAGTCTCAGGGGTAATTAGGGGCTCCAGAAGAGGTCTTATGCTCTGAAAGACAATCTCCTTATTGTATCCAGAATCGATAAGAATTGCCCCTGCTACAGATTCTATTATATCTCCAAGTACCTGAATCCATTCCAGGATTGAAAAAAAAATATATATATATTGTTCAAACAAAAACATGCCAGCTTAAGAAAAATGATGGATCATCAAACTTCAGTTGAAACAAAGTAGTGAAATTATGCCAAAAAGTAAAAATGTAGTTCAAATTTGACTAAGGAATGCATATCAAAGCCTTTAAAAAATTCTTTCACCATCATCCACTAACTTATGCTTCAAAGTCAAACAACTATTGACAAGGTATACTGCGAAAATCAACCAAATAAAAAGCATATTGGGTTTCACATTGGTCTCTTTCCCCACTTCAATTTTATTTATTTACTAGTTTATTTTGCCATATTCATGAAAGTAGTTACTTCAGCTACAAATATTAGCTAAAATATATTGTATAAAAGACATCTCGAAATATCATTTGTGTACATGGAGGAGAAGATTAGTTATGTTAAGAATCAATTTGAGTTTGTTGTACATTCTAGACAAAAAAATGGTGGATGGATGTAAGATATAGTGTCTTTCTTGCAAATGAGCTAATCCCGGGAATGGGTTCACACTTGGGACTGCTAATTTCTTATATAATAGCCATAAAGTTCCTTGTGATGCATAATAATGAAGAACATAATTTAGCAAAGAGAGATTGATCTGTCTGAAGAAAGATCCAAGCCTATTCGAGAATTACCAATGGGCCATTAGCCCAATGGTATAACCTCTCCTCCCTCAAAGGGGAGGTGGGGTTTGAGCCACATAGTGAACAATTTGTGAATTTTTTTTTTTTTTTTTTTGTTAAGCCCATCTTTTCTATTTCAACCTAATTTTAATCCATGTTACATCCAACTTTGGGATACAAGTGAGTGTTCCATACATATTACATTCCAACTTGGTCTCAAAGAGTTTCTCTCATTCTCTTCAACCCTTCTTCACTCTCTCTCTCTCTCTCTCTCTCTCTATATATATATATATGTCTCAACCCTAGTTTCATACATCTTACATTCCAGCTTCTTCACTTCATAAAAATTCTTGAAATAGAAGCCACAGCGAAGAGAAGAGATTGCTTGCAGGTCATATCTTTCAAACTAAAATGCAATAACCTTAAATGGTAGTCTCAACTCGTTTTCCTATGACTGATATCAATCAATATCAAATCCAGGCGTATTAATGGAGGAAACAAGCAAAAAGATAAATAAATTTTGGGCATGAATTCATCTTCAAGAAGAAGAAAGGCAAGGATGTCATCCTTTTTAGAATAAAAATCTAATAGGTTTCAATATTATGTTTTTTGTGGATGCCGCTCGGCAGGTGTCTGTCAAAGTTTTAGTAGCAAGACTGTGAGCTAGCTGTACTCCAACACAACTCTGGTCTTTTTGACTGCATTCTTAAGCTAATAATTTAAAAACCGTATTACTAATCCAATTAAGACTTGTTTGTGGTTAAATGCTGCAACGATGGCAAAAAAGAAAAGGATAGAAGGGAAGCAGTTAATATGTTTTGATAAGAAAGAAAGGAAAGCAATTAATATGGAAGACTAACCTTGGGGAAAGTTGTCTCCTGTTGCCATCCAGAAGTTGATTCCAAGGACAACTGCTCAAAATTGTTCACAGTGCTGATTATACGCTTATGAACATCTTGCGAGTCATGGAGAATGTGTATGTGCAATCCAGCCTTAACTGAAGATAGGGCATAACATTCATTGTTCACAGAAGCTGACCTTAGGTCAGTTATCAGTCCGGGAGATAGTTCGGGATATTCATGGCACAGATGCATTGTTATGAGATAATCTAACACAGAGTCCCCAAGAAATTCTAACCGCTGTGCCACCAACAAAACAAGAATTATACTCTCAACAGAAATGGATGTATATATAGTAGTTTTAAAGCTGAAGTTAAAAGTTAACTTTAAAATGTGTATCTTCAGTGTCATGGAAAAATCAGAATGTAGTTTGATACAAAAGTAAAAACTATTTATCTTTCACATTTTTAGTGCTGTTTGAGAGATCAATCTTGGCAACACAACTTTAATACTTGATAAAAAATCACCCAATCCTAGGGAACTGATCCTCAATGTGGAAGCTAAATTCTGATACCGCAAGGAAGCAAGTTGGAATTGATAATACCATTGGAAATAAAAACTCACTACTTTTCATTAACCATACAAAAGATCCTCATCTTAAATCTATCACCATTTGAGATCATTGCAAACATAAAAATTTCAAGACCATTGTTAAAGAGAATACGACGAAATGAGAGACTAATTAAAGAGAATACGACGAAATGAGTGACTAATGAAGGTAATTAAAATTAAAATCCTGAAAGTTAAAAGTAAAGGCCTGCTTCTTGTTTCCCTTAACAGAAGCACTGCTGAAATTTACCTCAAAAATGTTGATACGAAAATTACCTTATAGCATCTAGGAATCTCAGGTCGAATGCAAGAACCATGGGTTAACGCTTCTACCAGCAGAGACGGGTCTCGAAATGAATAGTTCAATAAGGATTCTAAATCTCTGATATTAACAAGCTTCTCTGGTTGCACAGGGAAGTCCCTCTGATAAGGTACATTGACAAAATCCACCTTTATACCAAGCCAATCCATTAATGATAGAGCTGCTAGTTCACCTCCTGTAATGAGGTATGCACCAATTAATGCCTCCACAACATCGGCAACCCTCTTACTCTTCACCTTCCTTATTCCCCTATTATAGACTTTTCTCTTGGTAGAAACCAATTCTTCGTCCAATGCATAATATCTGGATCGATCACCAGGAATGATCCACATTTTAGGATCAAAAAGTTCATTACGAATAAAGCCCTACAATTTGAAAAGAATAATATAAATTTCAAATTTTGCGTACAAGTCGCAGAAAATATATAGCATAAACATTTCTTTTTGATAAGTTAATATATAATATTAACATGATAAAGCAATACAAATAATTTTTTTTATGCAAGCAAGAAATTTTAGAGAAAAAAAAAAAAAAAAATTGATGGCTATGATTCCAATCAGAGGCGGAACCAGGCCCCCCAAAATTTTATTATACCCTCAAAAGATAATTATTTCAAAAATAAATGTAACTTTGTAGTCTTAAAATTCATTGAAAATTTCAATTGCCCCCTGATTCCAATCTGTAGCTGGTATAGTATAAAGAATTAATTGAGCCAGAAAACAAATCAAGTTGAGGACAAACTTCATAAGATAAATCAATTTACAATGCTAAGGGATCTTGATCAACAGTCTCTTGTCTCTTGAGCGCGGATACTTGAATTTGGGAATAATAGACCCAAAGTTGATATTAGCATATCATAAGTACTCGTATCCCTGCCCTCCCAATTCTCCTTTGTTTTTTGAAAGATTAGTTTCTTCATGTAGACTCAAAATTATAAACAAAAGATTAAGGCTCTTGATATTACAATTTTCCTTTCTTTTAACCTTCCAAATTATAAACAAAAGACATCATAATCATTCAATACATAATAGTTTCCATTACTCGCCAACAATAGAATACAACAATCATGAACATGACAGCAGTAAAAACACTAGTCCTTCATTTAACACTTCCATGTGTAGATGTAGCTTTACAAAAGGACTAAATAAACATTGTTAAACAACTCCAAGCGATCAAATTTCCAATCAAAATAGAAGCTTCTTATCTTCCTAGGTTGGTTAAAATACTATACTGACAGAAGAGGAGGTGGGGGAAGAAGATATCTTCATAAATTACCAGTATCAAATACATATAGAAAGGATAAGTTAAATGGAAGTCAGCTAAAAACTAACTTTATATTTGATCCATAAAAATGTGTCAAAAAGCCCAAAAACAAACTAGTCCATTTAAAGAGGGATATCAAGCATAAAGGATTAAGTATGCAAATGCATATTTATATCAAGTATAAAGGATCGGTACACAAATTCAAGATGATAAGCAAGATAAAACATTAAAGTAATATGACAAGTAAAAGATTACCGGAAGTTTGCAGTCACATCCTAGCTTGCAAAGCGCAGGATTAGAAATTATTTTTTCTTTTCTTGCAGTAAGAAGGCTCTCATGATGATTTTGATAGGTTTTGAATAGCTGTTGACAAGCAGCATATTTGAGGAAAGAGTCCCCAATGGTCGCCAGTGATTTACAATGAAAATTCTCTTGACATTCCTTTGTCGTAATTGCTTCCAATACCTACCATAGATGGATTGTTTAGCACAAGTTCAAAGCAAAAGTTAGAAAAATAACGTATCTAAGTGAAAAAATTGGCTACAACATCATTGCAAAACAGAAAGCAACAAAGATACACTAAAAAGGTTACATGTATAAGAATCTTACAATTAGCATGATTTTATTACCACGCAGGCAAGAATTTGTTCAACCATTAACAGATCCATGCTTTGCCAAATATTACGTAAATTATTTAATACAATATGTAAACCAGGGTACATCAAGTACCCATTTTTTTAGTTAACGATACCTAATCAAATTAGAGTATCAAACCACTGAAAAAACAAATTGTCATCGTTATGGGTGAAATGAAACTAGGGACAATGTCCTAGTTAAACAAATGGATGGTGTGAAATTGTGAATGGTATTTCACTTTTAACTTTAGTTTACACTGTCGTGTTACAATGGTTTGCAACTGTAAAGAAGTTCCACCTTTGAACATTAAAAACAACATGGTAAATGAGGTAGCAGAAGGGAATGTGGTTATTATTAAATGTTAATACTTTCTGGAAGAACTAATGCTTTATCTTTTTCGTTAGCTAAGCATGGATTATTTGTCATACCACCCAATAAATCCACAAAATAACAATTGCTCAATCAGTATTTATGTGGTACAATGAAATTATTAAAAGGATATAGAAAACGAAATTAGACAATTAAAAATAATTTGCAAATGATTTAGCTACTGAAAATCTGCAATAAAATATTTAAAAAAAGAATTGCCACATATTTCATAAAGGCCGTTGGTGTTACAACTGCTACTATATAAGAGGCGATTATGTGCATTTATCAAATTGAAAATTCTGTATTTGCAACAAGGGAGGAATAATATGTGAAAAAAGACTGAATTCTCTTGAAAGGAGGCATTTGACCAAAATCCCGGAATGACAGCTTAATTAATTTCTTTTTATTATGAATTCCATTTTTTATTGTTAATAATTACTACTTTCAACAGATACAAAAACAACGAATAAGTTCCTCCAGTGCCTTTCTTTCATTATATTGACACCTGACAACAATGTTTCACCTCTGCTTCTAAATGGTTTTATTCATTCTATTCATCAATGACTTCCAAAAACCTTTGCAACCGTATAGAATCCATATCAACTTGCATCCACATAATGTATGCTAGTATTGACAGAGTAATCATACATGCTTGTAATGTAATTTACACAAATGCAACATATATAGAATGAAAGGACAGAAAGAAAGAAAAGTTATCTGGGAATGAACATTTTAACCATATATTATTTATTGCATAAAAGCTCAAAATTTCAATAGGAAACACTTCAAGAGCACAAGTTGACCTGACCATTTTAACACAAGCATTATAGTTTTTTTTTGCATTGTGAGATAAAGCAGGTAAGATACCTTGAAGGTTGGAATAACAACATTTTGCATGCAGTGATCCACAAGCATCTTTTTCAAGTTCAAAGCAATAAGCAGGGACTCGATCCGGTGCATGATAGATGGAACAAATGAGAAAGAATAAAATGTAGCGATTGATATAGGAGACATGAGAACCGAACAAAGTTCAGGAGGCAATTCGACGGACGCATTGCTTGGATCTACAAAGAAGACAAAAAAAAAAATCAACCACAAAATTTACCATTGGTAAACCAGTATAACAGTGAAAAAAACTGGACATGCACATAAAATTTTAGGTAAAATGCAAAAATCTAACATCATGTTGCGAATAGTCCCCGAGGAAATAAAAATCCCAACTATTAAAAGTTCGCAAATCAGCCTGTTGTTAATCTGCCACTAGTGAATACATGAAATTATTCAAATGACCAAATGATACCCTATTGTCAAATGTTGTTGTCCGCTGAACTTTTTGAGATTTGATCCAATCAATTAAATGAGCCATTGACTGTCCTTTTGAAGGATGATCCACTCCACTACTTTCAAATTTTTTCGACGTATATATATGCATATTTGTATATATATATATAGCACCAATTTGGGTGCATTCCTAACATGAATTTTTCTAAGACCTCTGTCTTCTCTTACACATTCTTCACAAACCCTTTCTGCCCAACTCATCTGTGTAGTCATCTTCTCTCTTGCCCCCACAACACCACACTAAAGCCTTTTATAAACCCTTTTACATGCTCAAATGCTCCAAATTCTGTCGCCAATTGTCACTTGCTTTGCAGGGTGAGTTGCAGAAAAGGTTATTAAACCAGGCTTACCCTTATAAATTTAATGCCAGAAATTTAAATCAAGGACCAGTCTTAAAACTAGCACAACCAAATTTAGCATTGCATCCCTTTTACATCCTTTTCTTATATCAAACATGACAAGGGGAAACAAAAACAGAGTATGTGCATGTCCATGTGTGCAAAAACAATAAATGGATGGAAACAAGAGACGCGTAGGAATAAAAATTACAAAGAAGTGAGCAATCAATCCAACCTTTCTCCTTCTGCTGTCTACACTTCCAAAGGCAATTTTGCACTGGAAAAATATGTCTCCCATTAAGCAGCGATTCACTTTCAAAACACAAGTCAATTCCATGCCTGTACTTAGCAATACAGTAACACTATCATTTTAACTTTCATAACATAAATTAAAAAACTCTATTCCATACAATAGTTGATGGAAGTGAAACAAACAAATTCTGCATACCGTGATTTAAAGTGTTTCTTGTAAGTAATAACTTGTCCATTCTTTCGGCTCAGAATTGTGTTCCCATCCAAATTATTTAAAGTACCAGTGATACAGTAAACATGATCATTATGAGGAGTGCATACCAAAGAATTCTCGAGCATGCAGCTGCATACAGAACCATTCTTTGTCTTTACGAGACGAGCATAGCCCTTGGGAAGAGAACAATTTGTGTGACTCTTATCCAGAGCTTGGTGTGGAAATTGCACAGAACTAACACATTTCCAATCAATGAATGGTGGATTGTGATGAGAGCCAGTAAATGGGAGCAGCAGATAGTCACAAAGTGGAAACTCATTCCTCAAATAAGATGCCTCTAACACCCCATTCAATTCCTTCAAATTACCATCAAGAAGAACTCTGAAAATAGCAACTTGAAACTGCTGACATAAAAGAACCTGGAAGATATATAACTTAATGGTCAAGAAACCAAACCTATATTTTCTATTTAAATTAATTATTCCACAATACAACATCAAATGTAATTAAGCATATAAAATCAGATGAATTACCTGTTCAGAATTAAGTTCAACAACTCCAACATATTTCACGTGCACTGTCAAACTACCCCGATCAACTTCCAAGTCAATAGTCATATTTTCATCATCAAGTTCAAGCTCAGTCCTCAGAGCAAACACAATATCATGAAGCGGGACATCATAATCAAAGTTTCGCCTTAGCTGAATTAAATAGCAATGATACAAGTTCATAGAATCATTCACACAATGACTAACCAATTCCGGTGGGAAGTATTTCGCTTGATCATCAGAATAAATTTCATTCCCTATACACCAATATATCATAAATTAGAAAAATAAATAATGGTATCAATATATACAATGATTTAAAAACGATGCATAAATGAAAAGCAAATGCATTTTTTTTTTTTTTTCACGAGATAAGTAGTAATTAGGAAAAGACTTCAAAATGGAGAAAAATATAAATACCCAATTCCTGTTGGGTTCCATTGTTTTCCATTCCAGCAGATTCCATTGCTTTTCTATGAATTTGAAACAGGACGACATGAAATATTCAAAATTTCAAAATAAAAAAAGAAACCCATTTGCACAGATAATAGATAAAATTCAAAAACACAGACACTGGAAAGTTTGGAGCTCACTGACTTGGGAGTTTAGCAGAGAACATATATAATTTTTTTTCAAAATCAATTAAAACCCAATTGCACATACAAGGAAAAAAATTAAAAACATTCGAAAAAGTGTTTAACTCACTGAGTTGAGGTTCTGGGATGGGAAGATTCAAGAAGTACTTTGAATCAATCGGTGGTGAGCTATTAGATATTCTTGCAAGTATCAGTAGCAACTGAGCATCTATCTCCACTAGTTGTTGAGAATATATCTAACACCGTGGAGCATCTCCAATGACAAAAGCTATTTATTTTTAACTGTCAAATCTATATTTTAACGAGTGGTAGAGTGTCAAAATGTTAAATTTTAACAATTTTACTCTAATAGTGTATTTCATATAAAATGCTATTTTTTAATACAACCACCATTCTTTTTTAATTACCATTCCCACCATTCATATTTATATCAGTAATATTAATATTATATACATTCCAAGTCAAGTTATAGACGTCAGAAAGAAACTAAAATTAAACTTAATTAAAAAAATAAAAAAAATCTAAAATATCTGATAAAAAAAGAACCAAATATATATATATGTATAAATTTATATATTTGATTATATTGTTATATAATTTTTTTTATTTAAATTTTATTTTTCTTTTTCAAAAATTCATATATTATATATATATATATATATATATATATATGAGAAAATTCATATATTATTGTGTGTGTGTGTGTTGGGGGGGCGGGGAGTGTTGGTGTCAGAGAGCTGCCAAAAAAATTTGGCAGCTCTTATATTTGAGAGAAATTTTGAGATTTTTAAATTTTGAGAGGCTAAATGAAATGTCATTAGAGTAGCTTTTTTTACCCATCTCTCAAATTATGAGTTTGAGAGCTTAAAATGAAAGAACATTGGAGATGCTTAGAGTATTGTGGGTAAAGTGGCAAAAAAATAAATAAATAAATAAAAAACAACCTCAATTATGTTTGAATTTGCAAATAACCTCTTTTGAATTATATTTTGTGCATAATATTTCTTAAACTATCATATTATCCCAATGTCAATACTATATTTTATTTAATGACCATAATATTCTTTCTTATTGAATTACATTTAGTTCAGTTTGGTAGAATGAAAATGAATAGAAAAGAAAAGAATGGTAATGGAAGGAAATTAAAAAAATGTGTTTAATAAGAAATGTCGGATGGAAAGAAAAGGAAGATGAAGGATTGGGAGTAATAGAATGAGATATGAATAGTAACTTTTTTTATTCTTCCAAAATTAGGAAAAAATGGAAAGAAATGAAAGGAAAAATTAATATTTTTAATAAAACTTTGTTAATACCAAATTTACCCTAATTTTTATGAAAGAAAATTTATATGAAAAATGGTATAATGTAAATTCATTATAATAGTTTTCTTTTCTTCCTTTCTCAAAACATGATTACTATCATTTCTTTACTCTTTTTTTTATTAATCAACCAAACACGACAAATTATGTTTTGAAAATCCAAATTCATACAATTAACAATATCCACTATCACAAAAGTGAAAAACAACCTTGCACCATTTCGGGTTGCAAATTAATCCCTCATCTATACAAAACATTGTAAAAAGGACCCTTCCGATCACTGAACCACATTTTTCGACATTTTTCGACGTTTGTTGATTCACGCGACTATGTATTTTCAAGTAATTTTTCAAATTACCCTTTTAAATGACAATTATACTCCTGGCAAAAGTGCAAAAAAATCCCTAAACTATCACGAAAGTGAAAAATAACCCTCTGAACTATCTCTGATTACAAATCAAACCTTGAACTATGCAATCTATTTTTATTATTATTTTAAATTATTATTATTATTACTACCACCACCACCACTACTATTATTATTATTAGATCTTATTACTATTATTAGTATTACTATTGCTAATATTATTAGTTATTACTATTATTATTTTTATTATTGATATTGTTTATTATTATTAAGTAAAATTGTAAGAAAAAACCTTAAACTATTGGTTAATTACAAGATAGCTTCTGAAGGGTATTATGGGTATGGTATTATTTTGATAGTTTATAAATTTTATATAAATTAATAAGTGGGGGTATTTTTATAATTTTGACTCCATAGGAGTCGAAAAACGTGGCCAGATCACTAGAAAGATCCTTTTTGTAACGCTTTGTATAGACGATGGATGGATTAGTATGTAACTCAATATAATGTAGGAAGTTATTTTTCACTATTGTAATAATACAGGATTTTTTTTATGCTTTTGCCAACATTCAATTTAAAAGCTTTAAATAATTGATTGGATATGGTATGGTAAATTTTTTTTTTTTACGGTATTACTTTAAGCTCAGCCCCCTCAAAAACAAATAATAATAATAATAATAATAATAGCAGTAGTCTATTCATAATTAGCTCAATTCAAAGTTAGCACACCTAACTAAAAAAATGCTCAATTCGCCCTTGCTTTTCCTTTCAAAATTTCTACTCAAACTTGCCCACCAAGAAACGTACTTTGGGAGGAAAGGCCAAAGAAAAAAAAAAACGCCAGAACCAAGGAATAATGAGTTTGGTGGGGTCACTAATCTCTTTGTCCACCCACCCTTGCTGGAAAATAGTGCTTTTCGTCATAATGGAAAGCAATCGAAAGTATGACTTTGCAATTTTTATTTTGGATTTTGATCCTGCTTTATTACTATTCAAATTACAGTAAATATGGTCAAATACTTCTCAGAAATAAAAAACACAAAGAAGTAGTGGTTGCCAAACAGGCGGCAAAAGTTTTATAGTGAATTTTTTGACCGACCAGGATCAAAATCCAAAATAAAAATTGCTACGTCATACCTTCGATTGCTTTCCACTATAACGATTGGTTGTACACAATACAAAAAAAAGAAAAAAAAAAAAAAAAAAATTCCACTTTCTCAGATGTTATTTGATATAAGAGTTGAATTTTAAGTGTAGATATTTTTTAATGGTATTAGAAAAATAAATATATTTTTTGATATTTTTTGAAATTTTTAGCGTGTAGCATTTTGTATTGTGTACAACCAATCGTACAATAAGTTAGGTGATGTTCGATTACTCAATTCAGTGCTTAATTCTAAATGCATTAAGTAATAATTTAATTAAATGTGTTTGATAATACACTTTGAATATTACTAAAAATTACAAATGCCACTTAAAATGGAATAAAATTTTAAGTGAATAAAATTTAAAGTGATAAAGATATCACTTTATCAATGAAGGTTGAAAATTTAAAAAGATTTTTTTAAATATTTATGTTTTAATTATCATTTTTTTTATTTGTACAATTTTTGATAATTATTTTTAAAATTACAAATCACGTCCATTATTTTTGTTTAGTTCTAGTATGTTATTTTCCTCCCAAAGTCCATCCCTCTTTCTTTTCCCGGAAATTATCTCAAAGTCCATTCCTTCCTCCGTAAGTTTGAGTAGAAAATTTGAAAGGAAAGTATCATGGATTCATGATGGTGGTGGTCCCGCAACAATTTAAAGTCGGTGGAAGTCAGTTCCTTTCCTTTGGAGCATGAAGTTGTCGGTATCATCTATCCAAAATAAAATAATAATAATTGACTTAGAGTGTAACTCAATTAGGTATTAAGGAACTTATTCAATTACGTGTCTTCAATAACTTATTTTAAATATTATTAAAAATGATAAACATTATTTAAAATGAGACAAAATTTTAAATAAATGTAATTTTTAAAATTTTCAATTTTATCAAATAATACCTAACTTGTTATTTAAAATTTTAAATAAATGTAATTTTTAAAATTTTCAATTTTATCAAATAATACCTAACTTGTTATTTAAAATTTTGTCTCATTTTAAATAATGTTTATCATTTTTAATAATATTTAAAATAAGTTATTGAAGACACGTAATTGAATAAGTTCCTTAATACCTAATTGAGTTACACTCTAAGTCAATTATTATTATTTTATTTTGGATAGATGATACCGACAACTTCATGCTCCAAAGGAAAGGAACTGACTTCCACCGACTTTAAATTGTTGCGGGACCACCACCATCATGAATCCATGATACTTTCCTTTCAAATTTTCTACTCAAACTTACGGAGGAAGGAATGGACTTTGAGATAATTTCCGGGAAAAGAAAGAGGGATGGACTTTGGGAGGAAAATAACATACTAGAACTAAACAAAAATAATGGACGTGATTTGTAATTTTAAAAATAATTATCAAAAATTGTACAAATAAAAAATAATTTTTAAATAGGTATAAAATATTGCTTTTTGAAAATAAATTTTTTTATAATTAAATTTTATAATTTTAATTTTTAAAACATAAAAAACTGTTCTGAAATTTACAAACCAAACAAGTCGGATCTCTCTGCTCAATGACGGGCAAATTAATCACCGAGTTGGGCGCTTGCCTCCAAGAAGTGGAAAGTAGAGACACCTATTACTAGTAACAATAATAGTAAAAAATTACAGTATTTTTTTCCCTTTAACTTTCAGGATTTCGCTGACTTTTATTTTTGCAAATGTGCAGATATTCCATTCATTTGCATATCATTATAATAGTGATGAAAAATTATTATTTTTGTACCTAAAATCTGTAATATCTTTATTGATCAAAATGACCTTGGTCAATTTTAAGAATCCGTAAATCGACCCGTAATGTAAATGGTTTATTCATATTTCGTATTGTGTATATAGTCCTTTTTTTGTGCGTCATTTTACAGCCAATGTTATTTTTATTTTTATTTTTTTGAAAGGTCAAATGATAAATTAAACTTATGGTAAAGGCAATTTAACAAATTGGGGTAAGTTGCAGCTTTCAAATAGTAAAGGAAGTTACTTGTATCACTAGAAAAATATTTATAAAACCGTAAAAATTGAGAAAAGTTTATTTTTGCAATTAATCCTAATAATAAATATATTTTTTTGACCATAACTAAGTTGATATGGTTAAAATTAAATATGAATAGTAGGAAATGAATCGTGTCTTTGTTTGAAAATTCATTTTTATCCGTGGCACGATCATCTACAATAGACTATTTTTTTAAAAAAGATTCCCGAAATCTTACAAATGGAATGAGGATGCGACGTTATTGTAGGATTGCTCAATTAATTTGAAGGCTACTCTTAATTGATGGATGAATCCACCTATGATGATTTGTAATTTTTTTACTTCTTGATCAATAAATTATATTTTGTCAAGAATAACTAAGAAAATAATAATCAAGTA